TTTTGGCAAGAGTTATTCAAGACAGTAGGCACATCCCTGAAATTTAGTTCAGCATACCATCCTTAAACGGATGGACAGATCGAGGTTGTTAATTGCTGTGTCGAAACTTACCTATGGTGTTTTTGTAGTTCTCAGCCCCGACAGTGGCCTAAATGGCTGTCTTGGGCTAAATTTAGGTACAATACTATGTACCACAAGTCAACGAAGATAACTCCTTTCAAAGCTCTCTATGGTAAGTACCCTCCCATCCTATTGAAATTTACAGATTGCCCCTCCTTGGTGGAAGATGTAAATAGGCAGATATTGAAGAGAAATGTTATCCTTAGTGAACTTAAGGACAATTTACTGGTTGCTTAAGGACACATGAAAGAGGCTACCGATGTACATAGAAGAGAATTGACTGGGGTCTTTGTGTATTTAAAATTGCAGCCATACAAGTTTAGGTCATTGGCCAAGAAGATAAATGAGAAGTTAAGCTCACGGTTTTATGGTCCCTTTGAGGTGGTGGAAAAAATTGGCCAAGTGGCCTACAAATTGACCCTCCTTGCCAGAACTTGTATTCACCCAGTGTTCCATGTATCCTAACTCAAACGAAGCCTACATAGCTCAGTCCCCAGTCAACCTTTGCCTCCATCTCTCACCGAGGATTTGGAGGTCTTAGTTCAACCAGAAGTTGTGTTCTCTACTCGCACTTTATTAGGTTGTTCCAAGGAAGTCCTTATTCAATGGAAGGATCTTCCTCTTTTAGAAGCCACCTAAGAACCTTATGACATGATTGTCATCTAATTTCCTCTATTCCACCTTAAGGACAATGTGACACTTCAAAGGGGGGAATCGATAGACCACCCGTTATTAAATGGTATATCAAGCAGGGGAGAATGACCACTTGTGGGAATAAAGGTAGTGAGAATTAGTTAGAATATTAGGCACACGTGTCCTGATATTATAGGGTATTAGTGGGGAGCCGAGGGTGCTTATAAGGGGGACTAATTTCATGATTCATTTAGCTGGTTTTTCAAGGGATTATTGCTGGGAGGTCACTAGCTCCTCGAATTGCTAGTAAACGTGTTTTTGATTACTATTCTTCTTTATTTCTTTTCCTTATTATACTCGTTATCAATATATATCAATATAATTCATATCCAATTGTTTCTTATTAATTTTGTATTGTTGATATTACTATTTTGTGAGTGTTTGAGCTATTGGTTTTGTTGTTTTAGTTAAGGTTTGTATCATTTATCTATTGCTGCTGTCAAATATTTTTCTGTTCCCTACCATTTACATTGGACTAGGTAAAGATTTACTATTCATGTGACATATGATATTATAGAACTACTTATCATCAATTTGCTTTTGGATATGAAAATGGGATGAATACGTAGGGATTACTAATAATAACTAATTTTTATTTTGTGTTTGGTTGTAGAGTTTAGAATAAAGAATAACATATCTTCCTCGTCAAAATGAAACCATCAAAGAAAGTTATGTCAAAGCAACAATCATCTTATATTTTTAAAGTGGTATGCTGGCTCCTGGTAGTGTAGTATCTCAACCATTCTTACACACTGATCATTGAACCCCTCCAGTTCAATTTTTTTATATATTTGAGCTACAATTTAATCTCTAGTGAAATTCCTCCAGAAATTGGCCAACTCGAGGAGATATAGGAATTACATTTGGCCACAAATAACATTTCTAGAAGCATCCCTAACTCTCTTGGTAATCTCCAGAAACTAAATGCTATTGATCTATCTTTTAATGATCTAGTGGGAAATATACCCTCAACTATGATGGGCTTCAAGAGACTGCTTTCAATTGATCTGTCTAACGTTATGCTGAATGGAAGCATGCCTATTTAGGAGATGTGAAGTGTTTGGAAATTCTGGACCTTTCCTTCAACCAACATTCAGGTTCAATACCAAGCAGTCTCCAAAGCCTGCATGCCATTCCATCATTGAACCTATCTTACAATAACCTAGAAGGAGTTGTTCCCAACGAAGGGACATTTAGAAATCTTTCCAGAGTTCAAATTGAAGGAAACTCAAAGCTTTGTCAGAATTTTCCTTGCGATAGTAGAGGTAATAAGAGAAGTTCTACTGCTGTTTATTATTATAGTCCTAGTGAGTGTTGCAACAACAATATGCTTATTTTTGAACTGTCATCATTTGTTAGAAAAAGAAAACCAAAACTCATGCTAACATTAGATTAGAAAGTACATCATCAAATGATTTCTTATGATAAACTTCGTATAGCAATTGAGACTTTTAATAGGGAAAATCTGGTTGGGAATGGGAGTTTTGGGTCAGTTTACAAAGGCTATCTAACAGAAGGGACTATCGTAGCAGTTAAGGTGCTGACATTGAAAGGAAAAGATGTTGGAATAGTTTTTTTGGCAAAGTGTGATGCTTTGAAGAATGTGAAACATCGGAATCTTGTTAGATTGATGACAACATAGTCAAGTATGGATTTCAAGGGTGTGCAATTTCTGTCGTTGGTTTATGAGTTCATGACTAATGGGACCTTGGACAACTGGATAAAAGGAATGAGAAGGCACCCAAATGGAAGGCCATTGAATATTGTCATCAATGTTGCTTTGAATGAATTATCTGCATCATGACTGTGTAACACTGGTAGTACACTACAACCTGAAACCGAGTAATGTTCTTTTGCATGAAGATATGATTGAGAGAGTAAATGGTATAAGGTCAATTACCTCTTCAGACAGCCTTAGGTGTTCTGTAAGGTATATAGTCTAGGTTAGCAGTTGTACTGAAAGTTAGTAATTTGTGTGTTTGATATCTGTAGCATTTAAAAGATTCTACTTGTCATAAAATTATCTTGCAAATGCCTTCCTTGCTTTCATTAACAGTGAAATGCATTAGTTGCAGAATATGGTGAAAGAGTGAAACCATCAACATTAGGTGATGTGTGCAATTTTGGAGTCATGTTGATAAAGCTCTTCATAGGGAAGAGCACAATCAATCAAATTTTTTTTTTTTTTTTTTTTTCTAAAGAAATGAACTTAATTAAATGGGTTCAATGAGCTTTCCCTATCAGCACATAATAAGTACTAGACCTAGAGGTGCTACCATTCATATTAGAAACTGTTGATACGAAAACTCATACCAACCAGAGAGATCCAATTGACCTTGGTGGAATCGGAAGGTATGTGTGTATGATAAGTTAAAACCAGCAATGCTAATGTAAAAGTGCGTAAAGTAAAGAACACAAACAAATTTTAAAGTGGTTTGACAAGTTGAGACTTAAGCTTACGTCCACTATTTTCTTATTTGCTTTAGAGAGCTTACAAGAAATATAAAATCGCCTAGAAATATTTGCTAACCTCTCTCTCGTCGTTTAAGGGGTATTTATACAAGTTTTAATAAAAGGAAAGAGAGATAAGTTCGGGATTGCGATTAGATTTGATATGCAATCTCGTGATCTTTGTGATTGACTCTGAGATTGCGCTACCAGCGGTGTTGATTTATCCCTTCCGAAATATCCAATATTGAAGCTTATCCTTGATTCTGTCGAACAAATGTTAGGATTTGTCGCTATAATGAGCTCCAATTGGATTGGACTTACTCTGGATCGTACTGATTATGGGTTGAGCTGAATCTAGGTCAAACTACATCTCTATGAGCTTCTGAGATCTGTGAGCTTTCTGACAAAATCACACACATAGAAACCATACAGCAGGAAGTATTGATGAGTGTGTTTGGCAGTGGGTTAGCTTGCACTGTTAATTCTCAGGATGAGCGCATTAGGTGGACATGGGTAGACATACTTAATTTTAATTTTAATTTTTTTGCCTCCACCTTAATGCTTGATTACATGTTATTTCTTAATTGTCATTTGCATTTCTTCAATGTATATTGAATTTGTAAAAGCGTGACGTGTAATAATATGTATATTAAATGAAGCATACATATGAGATATTGTATACATTGTGCAAATAGTACAACATTGGATCATTCTGTTATCACATTTATAAAAGATATATTCCTATTTTTGATTATTATTATTATTATAAAGTTATGAAAAATGATAGAGTTACCGAAAATTACAAACCAAATCTATGCACCGAATGACGTGGCATAATCCTAACCGTTGATTAATATTAACTTATAATGAATCAACGGTTAAGATTGTCTCACGTTATTTGGTGCACGAATTCGGTGCACATCCTTCGATAACTGTAACGTTACTCTAAAGTTATTAATGTGACATTTGGAGAACAATAAGAAATTTGTCATCCAGTATTTTCATACTTATAGAATGGTTTAACAAAAGAGATGTGTTTTAATGATTAAATATAGATTTTGTTTTGTGTTTAATTGAGCATGAGTTGGAGCCAAATAATAGCCTGATTTATTATAATTTTAAATACTTTGATTTGTTTAGTTTTAACTTTTATCTCAAAATTAATAGATATATGTTCAATATGATTAAAAGATAATAATAAAAATAAAGAATTATCGTTAATGAAATGAACATATCCTTAATTAAAGATGTGACAATTATAGTAGTATACTGTATACAAGAGTGAGAGGCAAAGTAATGGAATTTTGAGTTCAAAATTGGCGTGATGAAAATGGGGAAAAGAGAACCCTCCAAAACGAGAAAGCGGGTAAGCCAATGTTCTGAAATAAACTCCCCCCAACTTTTTATCAAATATTACTATTCTATTCAACAACGAATTAATCAGTTGTGGAAGATGTTATAATCTTGAAATAAGTGTGTCAGAAGGCATCCCAAAATTAAAAACCATAAGCCCGCCAAAGGTATTCTCTGAACCGCCAAAGCATCAGAGTAAACCGGGCAGTGTCATTTTTAAGTGTTTCGGACTTTGGTTTTGGAAAATACCCAAATTCGAAATTTAAAGAAAAACAAAGATAACAGCGCCCTTATTCTCATTTCAAAATGAAAACAATGCCGCTCTTTCTTTCACTACATAATCATCTCTCCTCCCCACCCTCACGATCCCTTCATCTCTTTCTCTCTCTTCACTTCTTACCACTCAATCGAAGAGGGAGTTAAAGAGTATTCCTACTACAATGGCCGATCAAGAGAACTGTGTGAGGCTCACCCGGGCTGCTAGGAAAAGAGCGGCATTAGGTAATGCTGAAGAGCAGCCCCCCAGCAAGAAGCGAGTAGTGTTGGGAGAGCTACCCAACTTGTCAAACGTCGTCGTTTCAAAGAATCCAAGTTTGAAGAGCGAGCCGCAGAAGCCTAAAGGTAAAGCTAAGAAGAAAGTTAAGAAGGCTCTTTTGCCGACAACCACCAAGAACGACGATGTCGAAGGAAAGGTTGATATTGATGCCAAGTCGGACGATCCACAGATGTGTGGGCCATATGTTTCAGACATTTACGAGTATCTTCATACCATGGAGGTAACCGAAGACTTTACATCTTTTTGATTTATATTTTAAATTAAACTCTTAACAATTAAGACTCCTCTATCAATTAGGATTACTCTACTGTACAACTTTCAATCGTTCTGTTGAAGTAGTTTAACGGTGGTGGGCTCATTTGATGTGAAATTTGTATTGATGTTAAGATTTGTATCTTGGGCAGGGAACCTAACGTTTATTGGTATAAGATTGCGTTTTATTTATTTATTTATTTATTTCGGGGAATGAAGGGTCTGCAAATGGTAAATTTTAATTTGGCATTAGGATTTGTGTATTGAATTTGGTAGATTTCTGGTATCTAGGTTTTTCTGGGTGATTTGGTAATATGTAGTTGCTTTTGACTGTGTTTTAGTCAGTTGTAATTTAAACCTGATGATGCTTTGAATTTCAGGTGGATCCAAAGAGAATACCTTTACCTGATTACATTGAGAAGGTTCAGAAGGATGTTAGTGCAAATATGCGAGGAATTTTGGTGGATTGGTTGGTAGAAGTTGCTGAGGAATACAAGCTTGTATCAGATACCCTGTATCTCACAATTTCCTATATTGATAGATTTCTTTCATCGAATGTTCTTAATAGGCAAAAACTTCAACTACTTGGCGTACGATGGCTAGCGAACGGGGGGGGTCTTGACTACCCTCCTGCCCTTACCTATAATGAATTTTTGACCTGTCTCCCTTCTCAAAAAATTTACTAATAGAATTGTGTTTTGGATAATAAATTGTATTTTGAAACGTTTTGGTGGGGAAGTATTATTAGCCATTATTTGGGTGAATAATCGTTTACTCTATATGGATTCCATTGACTGCTCGGTAAATTCTAGACAGGAAAAAACCATTCACTTGGCAATCAAATTTCAGATGAACACCAACGATAATTGGGAATGTTCATTTCAAAGGCACTTATTTTCAAACAAAAAGCCTTCTTTACACCCTTTTTCTTTTTAGTTTTCCAGAATTATTTAAAAAAAAGAGTGAATCTTAATTTCAATACTGAGGCATAGCTACATTTAAATTTGGTGTCAACGGAGTGTGATCACGTTTGGAATAGGGTATGCCGATGTGGAAGAAGTTGGACCTATGAAATGCAAAAACAAAAAAAAAAAAAAAAAAAAAAAAATCAATTTCATAGCAAAGATAACTTACTTGTGTAACAAAACAAACATGCATGCATCACATGTTCTATGGCATCTATGCATCATATAACCACAAATTATCACCAAATCACAATATCGAAAATTTTAAAAGCTTAAAGAGAGAGAGCACAAATATATATTTAAATCAGCAAAAGATAAAATTGATAAGTTTTGTTTAATGCCCAATTTCATGATTAACAAAGATGAATGAATGTCCATGGATCACAACAATTTGTAATAAGCAAACCATGTCTAGCCATCGTTTCAGATCTGGTCCCCTGTCTATCACTTTCTCTCTCAGATTGATTATGTTTGTGATGATGGAAGAGATGTTGAAAATTTAGAGACGTTGAAACTTTGTGACAGCCGACCCTTTATCTAAGAGGCAGCCCCATTGATACAAGGATAACGTGGGTTATGTTAATGATGAAAAAAAAGAGTAGACTATGATTATTGTAAAAATTAGTCTTATCCTATTTATGTCAACAACTTTTGTCCTTTGATTTTTATTTTTAAAATAATATACTACAGAAATGATCATTTTCTCCATGCTTTTAATTTTTAGTGTTAGAAACAAAGCTGAAGGTGATTGTGGAGGAAAGTAAAAAAATTAGTGGAGATACCTGGGCCATTTTTTATACATTTCGTGCAATTATTTTTAATTGAAACTCAGCGGAGGTACCTAACGGTAGTCCATGAAAAATTAAAGATGTTTGTCAAAGTGGGCTTCGGACCATGCGTATTTTCCCCTCTAAGTTTAGCTCTGCATCGCCATTTCGCCTAATACTTGAGTGAGTCTTTCAAACAAAGGCCCTTGCAGCGTTCTCAACCACTAAGTGGTCTACATTGTCATCGGAAGGTTGGCTAAACTCTTATTTGATGTATTGGCCAAGTTAAGAGTTATTTTCTTGATACGCTTTTCAAGTCTTGAACAGAAAACTGTTTGATGAAATTCCTCAAAGAAGAAATTCTCTGTGTCAAATGGATTGTTAATATAGAGAAACGATAGGTGAGTGTTGATTTATTGATAGACACCTGTACTAATGGTATAGCAAGCAGGGAGAAACCACTTTGGAGAATAAGGCAAGGGAATTAGTTAGAATATTAGGCACATGTGTCTATATTATAGGTATCGTTGGGACGAGGGTACTTATAAAGGGGACTAATTTCATGATTCATTCGGCTGTTTTTCAAGGTATATTGCTGGGGAGTCACTAGCTCTCCAACTGCTAGTGAACGTGTTTTCATTACTGTTCTTCTTTATTTCTTTTCCTTGTTCTACTCTTTACCAATATATTCATATCCAATTGTTTCTTATTAATTTTGTATTTTGATATTACTATTTTGTGAGTGTTTGAGTTGCTGGTTTTTGCTGTTTTGGTTGGGTCTATATCAAATTGGTATAAGAGCTAAGTTGGGAATGGTAAAATAAAAAATGGAGAATAATGGTAGTGTTGAAAAGAAATCAAAACGGTGAAGGAAGATATGAGTATAGATGAAGGTCGATTTGGGTATGTTAAGGAATACTTGACGAAATGAGAGAGTTAATGCGATTAAGAGAGAAATGGATGAGAGATGAACCCTGAGAAGAGAGATCATCATCATCGAAAATCAAATAATGACAAAACGAAGCTATGAAGTTGATGAAGGGGACAGAGGATCAAAAGCTGAAGTTTTGGATCTTTAATGGTAACAATCCTTTGGTGGACCTTAGGGTGATCGTTACTTCACTATCAACCGTATAATAAACAGAATGATGAGGAGTCTCGTGTGCATGGAAGGAGAAAGCTTTGAATTGGTACAATGGCTGGAGTCTTGGCACCAATCCACTCTTAGAGAGTTTTAAGAATCCTTGATTGCCATATTTCGACCGTCTTTTCCAAGGACAACTTTATGAGCCTGGTGGCCTTGAAGCAGTCTGACGTCGTGATGGAATACCGAGAGGAGTTTAAGGCTCATTGCACTTTTGAAGAGTTGGAGAAGTGTTTAATTGGCATTTTTATTAATGGTGAAGAGGAAATTAGGGTTAATTACGCCTAATGAAGCCCAATGACTTAATTGGGATGATGAGTAGACCCACGGTTGAAGAAAGAAATTGGTATTGGATAAAGGTAACCAATTTGCTAAAGCCCAAAGTGGAAGGGAGTCTTACCTTGGGTGTCCTTAAGCCAGAATTTGGGTGACCAAGTTGGGGGCCAAACTCAACAAACGCCAGACAAGGTATTCTTGCAAATAAACCACCACAGAGAGAAACCATTGAGATGGCAGCATCTAGCTTTAGAGAGGAGAATTTCTTACGGCGTCAATGGCATAAATACAATAAAAGGGAAAGGGTCTGTGCTTCAGATGCAATGAAAATTTAGCCAAATCATCGATGAAAAGCAAGTCTCTGTAGATTCTTCTTGCAGGGGATGACGAAGCAGAACAGAAAAGAAGAACTCATACCTTCGTTAATGAGAACCCATAACCAAGGTAACTCCTTGGCTCTTCATGAATTTATGTTGGTATTACATCGACAAGATTCTGAAAATCAAAGGACACATTGGAAAGGAAGAAGTTATCTGTGTGGATAGTGAGGTATCACATAATTTCATCTTACTGAGTTGATGCACAGATTGGGATATTGGTTGAAAGGGGAAGCTTTTGGAGTGATGGTAGGTAACAGGGTGCAGTAAAGGGGAAAGAGATATGTAAATGAGTACAAATGGAGATACATGGAGTTATGGTTCAACAAAATTATTTTCCTTTTTATTTTGGGGGAGCAGATATGGTACTAGGAGTATCCTGGTTGAGTTCACTTGGGGAGTATGTCGAATTGGAAGAATTAACTTGGCATTTGAGATTGGGGATAGACGTGTGATGTTACAGGAGACCCATCACTAGTGAAATTGTAGTATCCTCAAGGCCTTTTGAGGTCGATACAAATAGCAGGAATTGAGTATTTGGTGGAATTCTGTTCAATTGAGTATAAACTAGAATTAGAAGTGGAACCTTAGGAGCCTATGTCACAACCAGCTTGCTTGGTGACTCAAGTGGCTGCACGTTGCTTAGTGGCTAATATACTTCATGCTAAGTAAACTTAATGCAAATGAATTTTAAATAAACATTATCCATTCCCAAAGTTGCCACCTAAGGTTGCCACCTAGTATTACTTAAGGATTAAGTATACAATGTATCTAGTCATATTCTTTGGAGGTTAACCTATAATAGGCTACTACTCCCCTTTGTAAAGTTTATAAGTTGTAATCCTTCAATACAGAGTTTACATTTTCTCTCCACTTATCTCTCTCATTTTCATATTGTAAGTCTGGAGTTTGTGTGAGTGTTAGGTTGCTTAACACATTTCCGAAGTATTAAGGCCGCACGAACTTAGCAAAGTTAAGTGCGTGACAAGTGCATCAAGCCTCGGTTAGAATAACCTTAGTTTTTATTCAATGGCAAAGACACTGTCGCTTCAACAAAGGGACCCAAGACGGCTAAGATGGAGGCTTCCCAAGAACGTGGTTGTTCGGAGAGAGTCGACCCTAACCCCACACCCTCAAGGCAGAAAGGCAAGTCTAAAGACTTTATTTCTAGTTTTGACTCATGTCTATCTCGTAATGAAGAAAGGGTGAGCATACAGTCGGAAGAGCAAGATCATCGAGTGGATGATCTAGAGACGGAGGTGTCTGAACCCACACTGTTGCGAAAGCCATGTTGCTTCGATTGGAGGAGTCATTAGGCCGAAATGGGAAAAATCTTCGTAGGGGCTTGCCAAACCCCTCATGTGTTCCAAACCGAAGTCAACAGCACTCTTGTTCGCTTAGACGGGTGTAAGCTGATTTAGTGCAATGCAAGGACCCGGCAACAATGTCATTGAAAGCCAAAGGATTGACATACCAAAGCCTAAAAGCTTTGGTGGCTCACGCAAGGCATAAGAAGTTGCAACCTCTTTGGGGACTAGACAAGTACTTTGGGGCCGTAGGCGTCACGAAGGAAACTCGAGGATCGAAACTGCAGTCTTCTATCTTTTGGACACCGCAAGGCATGGTGGGAGGAGAAGAGAATGAGACATTGAAAAGGTATCTGCACTATCTCTACCTTTGATGATTTTAAGAAAGAGCTTAGGCAGTTTTACCCGGAAAATGCCTAGGAGAGGCAAGAGCTCGCTTTCGAAGGATCAAGCAAACGGGACAATCCGTGATTACATCAAGGACTTCACACCGACTTGATACTGGAGATCCCTGGGATTCCGAACAAGGATTTGCTCTTCAACTTTATGGATGGGTTGCAGTCATGGGTGAAAATGAAGCTCGGGGAGTGCAAGACCTTACCACATCCATGCAGTTGCTGAAAGTTTGATAGATTATAGCAACCAAAAGGAACACACTGGCACCCCAAGATAAGAAGGGCGACTTTGTTAAAGGTGCGGGAGACAAAGGGCAATCTAAAGAGAGCTACCGAGACAACCGCCAGACAACTCCTCATCCAAGGGCAAGGATGAGGGCAAATGCTGGGACAAAGGCTCCAACAAACCCTGCCCAATTGCTTCATTTGCAATGAGCCTCATTGGGTGAAAGATTTGTCCGGAGAAGAAACTCTCACTTCCCTTATAGCCAAGCATCAAGAGGCAAGCAAGCCGAAAGCAGTAGCGATGGGGCACATATGGGATCAATGCAACTTCTCAATGGGATCCAGTCTGCACCAAAAACCCAAGCCAAAGGGTTGCTCTATGTTGATATTACCATAATGGGAAGGCCCAAAAGCCATGGTCGATACGGGAGCTTCGCACAACACTTCTTTTCAGTAATAAGCAGGCCGGCTAGCCTCAAAGCTTCAGAGGTGGCAGGACCATCAAAGCAGTCAATTCAGTGGCTCAACCAACACGTAGCTCACATGACTCAAAATGATGGGAACTTGGTCCGCTACATATATTTCTCAGTTGCACCGATGGATGACTACCAGTTGTCCTTGGCTTAGAGTTTATGGAACAAGTCAAGACATTTCCCTTGCCCTCAACCAACACCATGTGTATCATAGGTAGAGAGCAAGCTTGTGTTTTGCCTACTAGCCGCTCTACCAAGCCAGAGCAATGGTGCTTTCGGCCATGTAGTTCAAGAAAGACATCAAAAGGAAAGCTACTTGATCATCCTCAAGCAGTATGATGATGAGAACTCATCCCACCAGAGGTAGTGTCCTGGAAGTAACACAAGTACTCAAGAGTTGTTTGATGTCTCACCAAACGAGCTGTCAAAGGAGCAACCACCTAGAAGAAGGTAGATCTCAGATTGAGCTAGAACTAGACGTTAAGCCACCTGTTAAAGGTCCTTACCGTATGGCACCATCGGAGCTAGCAGAACTAAGGAGACATTTGCGGGAACTACTGGATGCAGGGTTTATCAAGCCTCCAAAGCTCCATATGCGCACTAGTTTTGTTTCAAAGGAAGAAAGATGGGTCCTTGCGGATGTGCATGACTACCAAGCACTTAACAAGGTATCCGTGAAAAATAACTATCCCATTCCTTTGATTGCCGATCTTTTCGATTAGCTGGGTCATGCCCGCTACTTACTGAGCTAGATCTGCGGTTAGGTTATTAAGTGCGCATAGCTAAAGCGCCGAGCCAAACACCACTTGTGTTACAAGGTATGAGTCTTATGAATTTTTAGTTATGCCATTTGGTCTAACAAATGCACCTGTTACTTTTTGTACTTTGATGAATAAGATATTCTATCCCTATCTCTACCGGTTTTTGGTCGTCTACATAGTGACATAGTAGTATATAACAAAACCTGAGAGGCATGTCAGCACCCCTAGGTGGATTGATACAAGTCTTGCGGACAACAAGCTATCATCAAGAAGGAGAAATGCTCTTTCACCAAGCCGGAAGTAATGTTCTTGGGTCACAAGATCAAGGATGGGCACTTATGATGGAAGATAGCAAAGCGGCCATTCAAGAGTGGAAACCCCACCAAAGTGTCAAAGTTACGATCCTTCCTGGGATTAGTAAACTACTCTCACTGGTTCATTAAGGGCTACTCGGCAAGGCAGCCCCATTGATAGACTTACTCAAGAAGAACAAGCCGTGGGAATAGTCAAGTGAATGTCAAGCCGCCTTTGAAGAATTGAAACACTGCAATCAGCAAGGAATCGTGCTTGCCTTGCCAGACCACACTCCCCATATGAAATGCATACCGACACATCTGACTTTGCCATCGAGGGAGTACTCATGCAGAATGGGCATCTAATTGCTTACAAGAGTCGAAAGCTCAATGAGATTGAGCAGCGTTACACCGTGCAAGAGAAGGAGATGACAACCATCATTTATTGCCTTAGAGTGTGGGCGACACTACTTATTTGGGTTTAAGTTTGTTACTTTGACAGATAATGTCGCAACAAGTTACTTTCAGACTCAAAAAAAGTTGAGTCCGAAGCACACGATGGCAGGACTTTCTTGCCGAGTTTGATTATGTCTTGGAGTACAAGCCAGGGAAGACCAACGTGGTGACAGATGTACTAAGCCGTAAGGCCGAGTTGGCGAGCATCAATCAAGTCACAAGTGCATTGGCTGATAAATCAAGCAGGGACTCCTATACGAGCCATTGGCTCGAAACATCATTGCCTTGGTAGAAAAAGGGAAAACCCGGAGGTTTTGGCTGATTGACAGCTCACTCTACACCAAAGGCAATCGACCTCAATCTCGAGATGAGACAATTTGAGGAAAGAGTTGATTAAGGAGTGTCATGACTCCTTGTGGGTAGGCCATCCAGGTATAAGACGTACCTTTGTTCTCTTGAAATCTGCCTACTATTGGCTTGGGATGTAGGATAGCATTGAGGGTATGTGTGTATGCTTTGTTTGCCAGCAAGACAATGTAGTGCACAACAACCAGCAGGCTTGCTAGAAACATTACCTATCCCCGAGAGACCATGGGAGAGTGTCTCAATGGACTTCATCATATGTTTGCCAAAGTCTGAAGGTTCGGGAGCTCATAGTCATTGTGAACAGGTTTAACAAGTATGTCACCTTCATCCCTGCATCCACCGATTGCACAATAGAGAAACAACCAAGCTTTTTTTTTCACAACATCATCAAGTTATGGGGCATTCCAACAAGCTAGTCATGATCGAGATCTTCGGTTCACCGAGAGATTTTGGACAAAGTTATTCAAGATGCTAGGATCAAACCTATACTTCTCACCAGCTTCCATCCCCAAATTGATGGCCAAACTGAGCGCATCAATGCACTGTTAGAGCTATTTTGCGGCACTAGTGAGTGCTAGCCAGCGAGATTGGGCAAGCTCCTTGACATAGCCCCATTCTCATTCAACTTGCAGCGGAACGAGACAACCACAAGAGTCTTTTCGGATCATTTGGAACAACAAGCAAAACACACCTCTTTCCCTAGCCACACGCTATGATGGAAGAGCCCCGCAGCCTTCAGGTTAGCCAGTCATGGCATGAACAACTGAACTTGCTCGTGCAACCCTACATAAAGCAGCAAGAGAATGAAAAAGTGGGTAGACAAGAAAAAAAGGCACGTTGAGTTCCAAGAAGGTGATCTAGGTATTTGCCCCTTGTAAAGCTACTGCCGCAACAATTCAATACAGAAAGTGCACAAAAGCCTAGTGCGCAAATATGAAGGGCCCTTTCTAGTGATACAACGCATCAAAAAAGTTTCGTATCGACTCCAACTTCCTCCGAAACTGAAGATATACCCGGTCTTTCATGTAAGCTGCTAAAACCATTCCATGAAGACTCGGAGAGCCATCCCGAAGAGTCTCTAAACGAGCACCAACAACTGTTGTAACATTCTTTGACAAGGAGGTTAAAAGATACTTGCTAATAGAGTATTTGCTGACATGGTATGCCAATTATCGGAATACTCCATCAAATGGAAGGGACTTTCTAATGCCGAAGCCAATTGGGAGTCAAGACTTATTTTGGCAATTTCAAGACTTAATCCTGCTCTATAAGGTAATTCGACGAGGGCGTCGCAACATTAAGTGTGTGAGAATGTCACAACCAGCTTGCTGGTGACTCAAGTGTGCTGCACGTTGCTTAGTGGCTAAGTATACTTCATAGCTAGTAAACTTAATGGCAAAGGACTTTAAGGATAAGCATTATTCATTCCAAAAGTTGTCACCTAGTGTTACTTAAGGATTAAGTATACAAATCTAGTCATATTCTTTGAGGATTTTTAGCCTATAAATATGCCACTCTGCCTTTTGTAAAGTTCATAAGTTGTAATCCTTCAATCAGAATTTACATTTTCTCTCCACGTATCTCTCTTATTTGCATATGTTAGTCTTTGAGTTTGTGTGAGTGTTAGGCTGCTTACACACTTTTCGAAGTTTTAGGTCGCACGAACTTAGCAAAGAAGTTAAGTTGTGTACATTTGGGTACAAAGGCATTGAGGAGTTTAAACATTGTTTGATCAACTACTAGATTACCACTCCAAAGGAAAATGACCATGTCATAGTGCTTAGGGAAATAGCTCAATCCCTTAACATTAGGCCTTATAGGTACCTTTATTTTCAAAAGATAATTGAGATGTTGGTTGGTGAAATTTAGTGGCTGACATTATCCAACCTAACACCAGCTCCTTTGCTTGCCATTTTTATGGTTAAGAAGAAGGATGACAGTTGGAGGTTTTGTGTCGATTATAGAACACTTAATAGCAATCAAACCAAACAATTCTTCTTCCTACCATTGATGAACTATTAGAGAACTGCAGGCAACCATTTTTTCCAAACTGGATTTAAGTTGGATATCACTAGATTAGAGTTAAGGAGAAAATGTACCAAAAACAGCATTTTGACTCATGGGGTCACTACGATTTCTAGTGATGCCTTTTGGTTTAACTAACGCCCCACCATTTTCCAAGCCCTTATGAACACCATATTCAAACATGTCCTCAAAATTTGCCCTAGTTTTTTTTTTTTTTAATGACATCCTAATTTACAGCTCAGACATATGCACCCATTACTACACCTTTCTCAAGCCTTTAGTACTACAAGATGATGATTTGGTGGTTAGTCATATAATGCCTGTTTGCTAGGGGAACTTGAATATTTGGGTCACTTAGTGTCGGCAAAAAGAGTTGAGGCAGATCCTCAAAGCTTGAAGCAATGAAAGTCTGGCTAGTTTCGAATGATGTGAAATGTCTGAGAGGATTTCTAGGCCTCACAAGTTACTACAAGAGGTTTAAAAGGGTATGGAACATGGCACTATCTTAACCAAGAACTCAAAATGATGCCTTTAGTTGGAATGAAAAGGCCTAACAAGCCTTCGAACAATGAAAACAGCCATGACACATACCAGTGTTAGCAACCCCTAATTTCAGCATTCCATTCGAAGTTCACATAAATGCATCGAGGCAAGGACTTGGGGTATGGTTTCAACAATCTCTACCAATGCTTTCTGGGCAAAGCCTTCTCTCCCAATCCAAACAAAAGTCAATTTACGAGAAGGACTCATGGCCATAGCTATGTCCGCAGTCCACAAGTGAGTCATTACCTCGTAGGCAACAAGTTTATAATCAAAACGGATCAAGAAGCCTCTAGTCCTTAGTTGACCAGAAAATGAAAACCCTAGAACAGCAAAATTGGATCTCCAAACTCAGGGATTTACATTTGAGATACATTACTCCCTTGACAACAAAATAAGGTGGTTGATCTTTGTCCCATGGAGAGGAAGAGTTGAGCAAGCTATCTCTATGGTCCAGTTCATTATTATGAAGCTCTAGTCGAAGAAGTCCAGCATGATCCCAAGTACAAGTCATCATTCAGACTTATTGTTTGACCCAAACAGCAGGCTGCATTATCACTCTAGAGGGTTACGTTTGTATAAAAAAGGTTAGTACTCCCTAAAACTTCAAAATTTATTTCCAAATTACTGAAGAGTTTCTTCCAGTCCATGAGGGCCATTCAGGGTTTTTAGGATTTATAAAAGGTGGCAAAGTTGCTTTTTGGGAGGGAATTAAAATAGATGTCCAGGACTTTGTAAGTCTTGTATTATTGCCAAATCGACAACACTGCCTCTTAAACCTATCGGCCTGTTACAACCCTTACCCATTCCCAATCAAGTCTTTGAAGATCTCACCATGATTTCATTGGGGGATTACAAAATCCAGGGTTTTGACATCATTTTTGTGGTAGTTGATAGACTGACAAAGACAGCAATTGATCCTACTCCTACCCCTAATGCCAAAGAAGTAGTTGAAGTCTCTGTGAAAGAGTAGTAAAGTTACGTGGGTTTCCCCGATCCATGTATCAGATTGTGATAGGGTGTTTATGGCCACTTTTGGCAAGAGTTATTCAAGACAGTAGGCACATCCCTGAAATTTAGTTCAGCATACCATCCTTAAACGGATGGACAGATCGAGGTTGTTAATTGCGTGTCGAACTTACCTATGTGTTTTTGTAGTTCTCCCCCCGACAGTGGCCTAAAGGGCTGTCTTGGGCTAAATTTAGGTACAATACTATGTACCACAAGTCAACGAAGATAACTCCTTTCAAAGCTCTCTATGGTAAGTACCCTCCCATCCTATTGAAATTTACAGATGCCCCTCCTTGGTGGAAGATGTAAATAGGCAGATATTGAAGAGAATGTTATCCTTAGTGAACTTGACAATTTACTGGTTGCTCAAGGACACATGAAGAGGCTACCGATGTACATAGAGAGAATTGACTGGGGTCTTTGTGTATTTAAAATTGCAGCCATACAAGTTTAGGTCATTGGCCAAGAAGATAAATGAGAAGTTAAGCTCACGGTTTTATGGTCCCTTGAGGTGGTGGAAAAAATTGGCCAAGTGGCCTACAAATTGACCCTCCTTGCCAGAACTTGTATTCACCCAGTGTTCCATGTATCCTAACTCAAACGAAGCCTACATAGCTCAGTCCCCAGTCAACCTTTGCCTCCATCTTCACCGAGGATTTGGAGGTCTTAGTTCAACCAGAAGTTGTGTTTCTCTACTCGCACTTTATTAGGTTGTTCCAAGGAAGTCCTTATTCAATGGAAGGATCTTCCTCTTTTAGAACCACCTAGAACCTTATGACATGATTGTCATCTAATTTCCTCTATTCCACCTTAAGGACAATGTGACACTCAAAGGGGGAATCGTAGACCACCCGTTATTAAATGGTACATCAAGCAGGGAGAATAACCACTTGGGAATAAAGGTATGAATTAGTTAGAATTTAGGCACACGTGTCCTGATATTATAGGGTATTAGTGGGGAGCCGAGGGTGCTTATAAGGGGACTAATTTCATATTCTTTAGCTGGTTTTTCAAGGGATTATTTCTGGGAGTCACTAGCTCCTCGAATTGCTAGTAAACGTTTTTTGATTACTATTCTCTTTATTTTCTTTCCTTTTATACTCGTTATCAATATATATCAATATAATTCATATCCAATTGTTTCTTATTAATTTTGTATTGTTGATATTACTATTTTGTGAGTGTTTGAGCTATTGGTTTTGTGTTTTAGTAAGGTTTGTATCATTTATCTATTGCTGCTGTCAATATTTTTCTGTCCCTACCATTTACATTGGCTAGGTAAAGATTTACTATTCATGTGACATATGATATTATAGAACTACTTATCATCAATTTGCTTTTGGATATGAAATGGGATGAGTGCGTAGGGATTACTATATAAATTAATTTTGCTTTGTGTTTGTTTTGAGTTTAGAATAACGTATCTTCCTCGTCAAATGAAACCATCAAGAAAGTTATGTCAAAGCAACAATCATCTTAATTTTTAAAGTGATGCTGGCTCCTGGTAGTGTAGTATCTCAACCATTCTTACACACTGATCATTGAACCCCTCCAGTTCAATTTTTTTTATATATTTGAGCTACAATTTAATCTCTAGTGAAATTCCTCCAGAAATTGGCCAACTCGAGGAGATATAGGAATTACATTTGGCCACAATAACATTTCTAGAAGCATCCCTAACTCTCTTGGTAATCTCCAGAAACTAAATGCTATTGATCTATCTTTAATGATCTAGTGGGAAATATACCCAACTATGATGGCTTCAAGAGACTGCTTTCAATTGTCTGTCTAACGTTATGCTGAATGGAAGCATGCCTATTTAGGAGATGTAGTGTTGGATTCTGGACCTTTCCTTCACCCATTCAGGTTCAATACCAAGCAGTCTCCAAGCCTGCATGCCATTCCATCATTGAACCTATCTTACAATAACCTAGAAGGAGTTGTTCCCACGAAGGACATTTAGAAATCTTTCCAGAGTTCAAATTGAAGGAAACTCAAGCTTTGTCAATTTTCCTTGCGATAGTAGAGGTAATAAGAGAAGTTCTACTCTGTTTATTATTATAGTCCTAGTGAGTGTTGCAACCAATATGCTATTTTTGAACTGTCATCATTGTTAGAAAAAGAAAACCAAAACTCATGCTAACATTAGATTAGAAAGTACATCTCAAATGATTTCTTATGATAAACTTCGTATAGCAATTGAGACTTTAATGGGAAAATCTGGTTGGGAATGGGAGTTTTGGGTCAGTTTACAAAGGCTATCTAACAGAAGGGACTATCGTAGCAGTTAAGGTGCTGACATTGAAAGGAAAGATGTTGGAAGTTTTTTTGGCAAAGTGTGATGCTTTGAAGATGTGAATCGGTCTTGTTAGTTGATGACAACATAGTCAGTATGGATTCAAGGTGTGCAATTTCTGTCGTTGGTTTATGAGTTCATGACTAATGGACCTTGGACAACTGGATAAAGAATGAGAAGGCACCCAATGGAGGCCATTGATATTGTCATCATGTTGCTTTGAATGAATTATCTGCATCTGACTGTGTAACACTGGTAGTACACTACAACCTGAAACCGAGTAATGTTCTTTTGCATGAAGATATGATTGAGAGAGTAAATGGTATAAGGTCAATTACCTCTTCAGACAGCCTTAGGTGTTCTGTAGGTATATAGTCTAGGTTAGCAGTTGTACTGAAAGTTAGTAATTTGTGTTTGATATCTGTAGCATTAAAGATTCTACTTGTCATAAAATTATCTTGCAAATGCCTTCCTTGCTTTCATTACAGTGAAATGCATTAGTTGCAGAATATGGTGAAGAGTGAAACCATCAACATTAGGTGATGTGTGCAATTTTGGAGTCATGTTGATAAGCTCTTCATAGGAAGAGCACAATCAATCAAATTTTTTTTTTTTTTTTTTTTCTAAAGAAATGAACTTAATTAAATGGGTTCAATAGCTTTCCCTATCAGCACATAATAAGTACTAGACCTAGAGGTGCTACCATTCATATTAGAAACTGTTGATACGAAAACTCATACCAACCAGGAGATCCAATTGACCTTGGTGGAATCGGAAGGTATGTGTGTATGATAAGTTAAAACCAGCAATGCTAAGTAAAAGTGCGTAAAGTAAAGACACAAACAAATTTAAAGTGGTTTGACAAGTTAGACTTAAGCTTACGTCCACTATTTTCTTATTTGCTTTAGAGAGCTTACAAGAAATATAAATCGCCTAGAAATATTTGCTAACCTCTCTCTCGTCGTTTAAGGGGTATTTATACAAGTTTTATAAAAGGAAAGAGAGATAATTTCGGGATTGCGATTAGATTTGATATGCAATCTCGTGATCTTTGTGATTGACTCTGAGATTGCGCTACCAGCGGTGTTGATTTATCCCTTCCGAAATATCCAATATTGAAGCTTATCCTTGATTCTGTCGAACAAATTTATAACCACTTCAAATGGATGAATTACAGGATATTCAACAAGAAATTCGTAAGTATAGGTCTCAGATACAGAATATGGAGAAACGACTAAGGTACCATTTACTTTAGGCTGAAGTATTAGCTAGAGATAAGAAGAAAAAAAACCCACAACTTTTTCATCAGTTGTTGGAAGAAGAAATTTTCTCAAATATTTCTTCACTAATCAACCAAATTTTCAAGGATCTTTGAAAGTGATCCATCTGAAATAACAACCTCGTATGAAATCGAGTACCGAGCTCAAATCCTTGAGGAAACTTTGAAACAAGTTCGCCTGCGCAAGGTAAGGTCTATTCCTTGTTGAGTTGTATTAATTTTGAATGGCTGCAGCAGATAAATAATGGACTTATAAAATTTATGAAAACAGCGGCAACTTTTGGAAGAGAAGTATAATCATAATTCTCCGAGCACACCATCAACTTCACATGTAAGTAAATTATGCTGGACTTTACAATAAACATGGTTATATAAATTGAAATCCTTATAAGAAAGAAGAGATATACACGGAACATTATAACTGTACATCATATATATATATATAGTTGCAAGGAGATAACTGTACATTATATATATATATATAGTTGCAAGGGGATGTCTAGTAGTAATTTGTTTTTCCAACTTAACTATTGCAGGCACATCTTCCTCCGGAAACGCCAGACTTGAAAGGTTTAGCTGCAGAAAGTCCAAATAATTGTTTGGAGTGGCTTCCACAAAGAGACCCACAAGTTCAGATCCTAAATTTTTTGGATTCAAACGGCCTTCTTCCTCCGAGGTGATCACTGAATAATATTTTCTAAAGGCTGCAGTTTGAGTTACATGCTTCACTTCTTGTGTGCAAATTCAAATGCTACAATCTTCTTATTTTTTCAGAGATCGACCTGAAATCTTACAGCCGCCTTCAAATCCCTTTGATGGAGAAAACATAAACATTTATGAGCAGATAAGGCCAAGAGTTGGGTTGCAGGAGGACAATAATATGCAACGTCCTGAGATTGGACAAGTGATTGACGTCAACTTGTCCCCATGGACTGAATTTTATCCCACAGGTATTGATGTAGTGCAGGCCGTCAATTAGGTTAGCCAAAAAAATCCGAATACGTAATAATGATGGATATTCCAAACCCCACCTTTATCCTTAACGATAGCCATTGTGAATTGTCTATGTGACAAATTATGAATGATTATTATAAAATGTTGGCAGGTAATAGTCCCATTCCCGCTTCACAACCTAGAGGACGGGCTTTACTCGACCTGTATTTGTCTCAGTTTACGCCATCAACCATCTTGACGCCCAGTGATCAACAGCCACCGTGATCATTTATTTAGTTTCTCTATAAATTTCTTCTTTGTTCTTTATTTTATCGCTAAGTTACATTGATTTGTTTCAGTTTTCTAAAAATAAATTTATTAATTGCTTTGTAGTTTCTGCAATTGTTGTGACATTTTAATTGTAATAAACTTGAACGTGGCCTTGTATAAAAGTTTAAAACTATATATAGCAAAGTCTTTTCTTCCTTAGTTTTCTCCCCCTGGAAGGACCAGTATTTACTTATTTACTTTTAAAAATAGTTTGAAAGATGAAAATCATAATATTGCAAAACTTATATGTCATTTTAACATGTATCATGTAATCCATTGACATACAAAAAGGTAATAAATCAAGGGGGCTACGAAATAGTACTTTAACTTCTATGGATGAGTAAAAGACTTTTTTTTTTTTTCCACCAAAATAATGACACTTTTCTACCCAAAATGTTTTAAAATACAATTTTATTATCTAAACGTTATGTTCCATTTATAATTTACTTTAATTATAATTATATTCATTGTGAAGACGAAAATACCCCCATCAAAGATCAATCTCCAATCGTCGGCCACTGCAAATCAAAGTTTCGCACGCCTCAACCTGAATTTTGCCTGATTTCGACATCGAAAATTGACCTTGTCGCCGCCATTCAACTCACTAGCATCCACCCACGAAAACCATTCTCACCCCCATCCACAATCACTCCTCAATCGTCGGCGGTTGCAAAAGGAAAAAAAAAAACTAAATTTGGTGGTGGTGACAGCAAAGCACTGTGTGTTGGGGCACATTGGGAGGGATCGAGCGTACTGGTCGCACGCTTGAGGTAGGGGAAATCTGAGTAGGACAAAACGTCGAGCACTTGGTATGTGCCAACAAAGGAGAAGCAAATGGCCATCGCTAGCAAGGGAAACATCATAAAAAACAAACCCAAATAAGCACCAAACAATCAAAGACCAAATTGATTTAAAAAATTATCAAATTGAAATCAATTTGGCTTGAAAAAAATCAACCCAATTGTGACGATATGCGCGAGTCACGGAAGGCTACCAAGTGTCGATGTTAGAGAGATTTTTTAGAGTGGAGGTCAATTGAATTTTGGCCGTGGATTTAGCCGAAATTTGGCCTAGAAAAGCGAAACCCTAATTGTGCGGTGGCTGGCAAATGCTGGGAGGTGAATACCATCCCGCCTTTACCTATAATGGACTTTTGACTGTCCTACACTTCTCACAATGAAATTTACTAATAGAATTGTGTTTTGGATAATAAAATTGTATTTTGAAACGTTTTGGGGGGGAAAGTGCCATTAAGCCATTATTTGGGTCAGAATAAGTCGTTTACTCTATATGGATTCCATTGACTGGCTCGATAGATTCTAGAGAGGAAAAAACCATTCACTTGGCAATCAAATTTCAGTATGAACACCAACGATAATTGGGAATGTTCATTTCAAAGGCACTTATTTTCCTAAACAAAAATGCCTTCTTTACACCCTTTTTCTTTTTAGTTTTTCCAGAATTGTTTAAAAAAAAGAGTGAATCTTCAATTTCAACTACTGAGGCATAGCTACATTTAAATTTGGTGTCAACGGAGTGTGATCAAGTTTAGGAATAGGGTATGCCGATGTGGAAGAAAGGTTGGACTTGGAATGCAGAAATGAAGCAAACAAAAAAAAAAAAAAATAAAAAAAAATAATAATCAATTTTAGAGCAAAGATAACTTACTTGTGTAACAAAACAGACACATGCATGCATACATATGTTCTATGGCATCTATGCATCATATAACCACAAATTATCACCAAAATCAACAATATCGAAAATTTGTAAAAGCTTAAAGAGAGAGAGAACACAAATATCATATTTAAATCAGCGAAAGATAAAATTGATCAGTTTGTCTAATGCCCAATTTCATGAATTAACAAAGATGAATGAATGTCCATGGATCGACAACCATATTTGTAATAAGCAAACCATGACTAGCCATCGTTTCAGATCTGGTCCCCTGTCTATCAATTTCTCTCTCAAGATTGATTATGTTTGTGATGATGGAAGAGGAATGTTGAAAAAATTTAGAGACAGTTGAAAAAATTTAGTGACAGCCGACCCTTTATCTAAGAAGGCAGCCACCATTGATACAAGGATAACGATGGGTTATGTTAATGATGAAAAAAAAAGAGTAGACATTATGATTATTGTAAAAATTAGTCTTATCCTATTTGATGTCCAACTACTTTTGTCCTTTGATTTTTTATTTTAAAATAATATACTACAGAAATGATCATGTTCTCCATGCTTTTAATGTTTTAGTGTTAGAAAACAAAGCTGAAAGGTGATTATGGAGGAAAGTAAAAAAATTAGTGGAGATACCTGGGCATTTTTTATACATTTCGATGCAATTTATTTTTAATTGAAACATCAGCGGAGGTACCTAACGGGTAGTCCATGAAAAATTAAAAGATGTTTGTCAAAGTGGGCTTGGACCAATGCGTAATTTTTCCCCCCTCTAAGTTTAGCTCTTGCATCGCCATTTCGCCATAATGCTTGAGTGAGTCTTTCAAACAAAGAGCCCTTGCAGCGTTCTCAACCACTAAAGTGGTCTACATTGTCATCATGGAAGGTTGGCTAAACTCTATTTGATGTATTGGCCAAGTTAAGAGTTAGTTTCTTGATACCGCTTTTCAAGTCTTGAACAAGAAAACTGTTTGATGAAATTCCTCAAAGAAGAAATTCTCGTTGTGGTCAAATGGAATTGTTAAATATAGAGAAACGATAGGTGAGTGTTGATTTATTGATAGACCACCTGCTACTAAGTGGTATATCAAGCAGGGGAGAAGGACCACTTGTGGGAATAAAGATAGTGGAAATTAGTTAGAATATTAGGCACACGTGTCCTAATATTATAGGTATTAATGGGAAGCCGAGGGTACTTATAAGGGGTACTAATTTCATGATTCATTCGGCTGGTTTTTCAAGGTATTATTGCTGGGAGGTCACTAGCTCCTCAAACTGCTAGTAAATGTGTTTTTCATTACTGTTCTTATTTATTTCTTTTCCTTGTTCTACTCTTTACTAATATATATCAATATAATTCATATCCAATTGTTTCTTATTAATTTTGTATTATTGATATTACTATTTTGTGAGTGCTTGAGCTGCTGGTTTTGCTGTTTTGGTTGAGGTCTATATCAAATTGGTATCAGAGCTAAGTTGGGAAATGGTAAAATAAAAAATGGAGAATAGAATGGATAGTGTTGTAAAAGAAATCAAAACGGTGAAGGAAGATATGAGTACGATGAAGGTCGATTTAGGTACTGTTAAGGAATACTTGACGAAAATGAGAGAGTTAATGCAATTAAGAGAAGAAAGGGATGAGAGATGAACCCGTGAGAGGAGAGATCATCATCGTCGGAAAATCAAAATAATGATGAAAATAGGGGACAAGAACGATGCTAGAGTGCTGAGTCGATGAAGGAGGACAAGAGGATCAGGAAGCTAGAGTTGTCGATCTTTAATGGTGACGATCCTTCTAAGTGGACCTTTAGGGTGGATCGTTACTTCACTATCAACTGATATGAAGAAACAGAAATGATGAAGGGAGTCGTCGTGTGTATGGAGGGAAAAGCTTTGAATTGGTACCAATGGCTAGAGTCTTGAGCACTAATTCACTCCTAGAGAGTTTTAAGATAGCCCTGATTGCCAGATTTCGATCGTCCTTCCAAGGGACAGCTTATGAAGCGTCGGTGGCCCTGAAGCAGTTGACGTCAGTGATGGAATACCGAGAGGAGTTTAAGGCTCATATTGCACCTTTGAAAGAGTTAACGGAGAAGATGTTAATGGGCATTTTTATTAATGGGCTGAAGGAGGAAATTAGGGTTAAATTACGCCTAATGAAGCCCAATGACTTAAATGGGATGATGGAGTAGACCCACCGAATTGAAGAAATAAATTGGGTATTGGATAAAGGTAAGCCCAAATTTGCTGAAGCCCAAGATGGAAGGGAGTCTTATGCCCGGGTGTCCTTGAGTCCAAAATTTGGGTGACCCAGTTAGTGGTCAAACTCAACAAAAATGCCAGATCAAAGGTATTCTTGGGCAAATAAACCACCCCACAGGAGAAAGAAACCACCTGAGATGGCAGCGTCTAGCTTTAGAGAGGAGAATTTCTGACGGCTGTCAATGGCATAAATACAATAAAAGAGGGAAATGGGTATGTGCTTCAGATGCAATGGAAAATTTAGCCTAAATCATCGATGAAAAAGCAAGTCTCTGTAGATTCTTCTTGCATGGTAGGATGACGAAGCAAAAGAAGAAGAACCCATAGCTATCGTCGATGAGAAACCCATAAACAAAGGTAACTCCTTGGCTCTATTGTTGGTATTACATCAGACAAGACTCTGAAAATCATAGGACACATGGGAAAGGAAGAAGTTATCGTGTTGGTGGATAGTGGGGCATCACACAACTTCATTTGCACATGAGTTGGTGCACAGATTGGGGATATCAGTTGAAAGGGGGAAGACTTTTGGAGTGATGGGGGGTAACGGGGTGACAATAAAGGGGGAAGAGATATGTAAAGGAGTACAAATGGAGATATAGAGAGTTATGGTTCAACAAAATTATTTTCCTTTCAATTTAGGGGGAGCAGATGTGGTACTAGGAGTATCCTGGTTGAGTTCACTTGGGGATGTATGTGCGAATTGGAAGAATTTAACCATGGCATTTGAGGTTGGGGATAGACGTGTGATGTTACAAGGAGACCCATCACTAGTGAAAATTATAGTATCCCTTAAAGCCCTATTGAGGCCAGTACAAACAGCAGGAACTGGGTATTTGGTGAAGTTCTGTTCAATTGAGTATAAACCAAAATTAGAAGAGGAACCTCAGGAGTCTAGGGAAGCAAGAGTATTGGAGGAGTTTAAGTATTTGTTTGATCAACCTACTAGATTACCTCTCCAAAAGAAACATGACCATGCCATAGTGCTTAGGGAAAGAGCTCAACCCCTTAACATCAGGCCCTATAGGTACCCTTATTTTCAAAAGAATGAGATTGAGATGTTGGTTGGCGAAATGTTAGTGGCTGACATTATCCAACCCAGCACCAGCCCCTTTGCTAGTCCAATTTTATTGGTTAAGAAGAAGGATGACAGTTGGAGGTTTTG